AGACCACTGCCAGGTCACTTTTTCTAGGCCGATCCAAACCTTAGCAGATTTATCTTTCACAGTGTCATTCAGCTTCTTCATCTCCTCCATGTTGTTGATGGTGGCCAGATCAGTGTAGGTCTGTCTGCAGTAGCTCTGAGCTTCAGTCCAGGTTTTATTCTCATTCACAAAGTGATACCGATGAGGAACGTATGCAGACAGACCATAGATAGCTGTGAGTAACATGAGGCGGGATTTTGAGATGGCATTTCAGTGGAGCAAAACAAAAAGATAACACTTTACTGTAGGGCAGTATACACTAATACATTGATATGCAACAGCAGTCTTACTACTGGCAAAGCATTCACTGTTACAGATGGATTATTGTAGTACTGCTCATGTAAACAGACTCACACTTCAACTTCAGTTTTTGCTCATGTATTTACACAAGTGAATATTGACACAACATATTTTCTCTTATGAATTTATGTGTAATAGGGTGAACTACTTTTTTTCTGATTGCAACACAGTAGGTGGAATTTTCTACATTATGAGAGTGCTTACACTTCATCGGCACAGGGAATGACAATATTACTAACATAATGTGTTTAACTGTAAGGAACAGCAATAATGTTTCCCAGTCAAAAGAAAGAAAGAACTCCCAAAAAACATTACATTTAGCTCAGTTAATATCATAATAATCAAATAATTTACAAACTTTTTTCTGTATATTGGCAAAAACTTGACATCAACATTCCTTCTTGTTTAGACTATTTCAACATGTTTGACATTTTCTGTCATGGGGCGTGGTGATTAATACAAACAAGACCACTGGTGGTCAGTAACGAAGTAAATGTAATTCACAACCAGTGTCTATTCAACATAAATGATGGAACTAACCTAACTTTGTGTAAGTAGACCACAATATAGAAATATGCACACATGTGCAGTTGTGACTGACGTGTCTTTTTTCTGAATTTATACGAACACTATTTCATTTTATAGTAAATTCATTCTGGCTAGTTTATGTTTATGAACAGAGACCTACAGATGCAATAAAGTAAAGCAAAACTCATTTGCGAAGCTGTGTTTAAAGCAAGTTTGTATTAAATTTACAGTTCTTTAAATTTAGACAATTTTTTTATTTAAACTAAGTTCCAAATAAATCTTAACGGAAACATTGCTTGTTCACAAAAGGTTATTTCAGAGCCACTTGGTTCTACCTAATGGAAATCGTTTGCTTTCAGTGTTTTGTGCTCATGATAATTTAATAGACATAAGTGTCAGAATAATTAATGACATTCTATTAAAATACTGACGTTAAAAGAGTGACACTAGAGTATTTTCACCTACCATGAGTTGATAAAGCAGGAGTTTGGTTACAAAACTTATAGTAGGACATTAGAGCCATAAATAATCTTTTAGTAGTTTTACTTTTGATACTTAAGTACATTTGAAGGCAAAACTTTTTTTCACTCAAGTACATGGTTTCCACCACTGAACAAAATATCTGTCCCATGTCAAACTGAAACTTGCAGTTCAAATCATACTAACTTATAATTTTAAAACTACATTTTATTAATTGTATCTGTGTGTAAGTGGTTGGGAGGGATTATGCTCTCACATTGTGTCTCAAATTTGAAAAGAAAACATCAGTTTCAGTCTAAATTTGATATTTTCACATTTTTGTAGTCTCCATTCTCACTGCTAATGTGTGTGTGGGGGGTGCAAACACATTAATTTCAATTAGTTATTTTCATATTAACCCTACAGAACAGGTTTCATTATCCAAATTTTATTAAAACTATTTTTCCAGTATTATTAAACTTTAAAATGACCGAAAGGGTTAAGTAAGCTGAGGGAGTATTACTTTGTGTTTTAAACCCAGAACTTAGGTCACCGAATCTAAAGAGAACCATACTGCTGCAGCTAGCTAAATGTTGGGAAATTTGACATTTCCTATGCAGATCCAGTGTAAGTACCCTTATATAGTAGGCTATATTTGTTATAATCTGAAAAATCTGAAAATCTTGTTGGTAAAGCAGCAGTCAATCATATTACACATTTAAGTACATTATGCTGTTGCATTAAGACTGTAGTCCATCTGTTTCTCTGCATACTTTCTATAAGTAACACCAGGGACAGGGATGAAAGGGGGAGATTCAAGACCACCAACAGTTTCAACCTGATCACTAGCCCCACCAGATAAAATGTCAGAAAATGAATGCTGAATTGTGGCCATCTTATCCAAATCAATGAAAGCACCAATAATAAACTACAAAGTCCCCGTATGGGCCAGCATCTGTAACAGCTTAAGCTAATGTCGAGTCACTACCAGTTCAGACACTGCAAGTTAATGCAATTAAATTGATCAGTAATCCAAAATTTATTTTAACATATGGCTGCTGTCAAAACAAAACCTGTAATCTCACAAATTATAACTTAACAGGAGAAGGAAGAACCTACTTTATTTTTAAAGTAAGTCAAAGGAACCAGGTTTTTTTACAAGTAATTTTGGGCCAGTTCGTTTGGTCCATTCATCATGAAATTTACAAACAATGTAAAGGCCATCAGGCTTTTTTCAAATTAAGTCAAAAACTTAAAAAATGACAAAAATGGAGATATAAGGTTTTCTTTCGACAGCAGCGATATGTTACTTTTTGTTTGTTTTTCATCTGGTGTTAAGCTTTTGAAGAAGACACTATATAAGGAACATTTGTGATTGTTAATATAAAGTGGGATCATTGCTTATGTGGGTGTAGTAGGTATAAGCTTCAAAGCTTCGAAAGCTTCAAAACTTCAATGCCAAGTTTTCAGGTAGTTTGTGACACTTACTGGGGTGAAATCACACAGGCCTGAACATTTTCTGTGGCACTTTAAGTTGGTTTAGACCAACAGAAATACGGTGTGTGCAATGCAAGAAATTATCATAACATCGTAATTGTATGAATAAGTTGAGTCACAGAATACAAAATAAAAATGAAAGATTATAAGCAAGAAAATTAAAAAAAAATTGAAGGAAAGAAAAACATAAGCGAAAGAAAGAAAGAAAGAAAGAAAGAAAGAAGACAAAGAAATGTAGAATAAAGGAAAAGCGTATGGGAAAAGAAGGTGGAAAACTAATCAGCCTCTAACATGAGGTTTTGATGAGTTCAAGTTTAATAAATAATGGAAAAAAAAACAGCTGTTTAATGCATAGATGGATGGGTGAAAAAATTAAGGAATTAAAAGATAAGTGAGACGGTTATGAAGCTATAGCAGAAAGGAAAAGCAGAATTCAGTGGAAACATTTCAAATAAGCACAGCCAATCAGCTTCAGTGCCATTATGACATCATCAATGAAAGTTGGAATTCAAATCAAGATTCCACCACACGTCTATTGAAAATATACAAATTTTAAGTAATTTTTTTAAAACGTGAAATTTATGAAAATCTAACACATCTTACTGAAATTATCTTAGAAATGATAGCAGAACTGAGTTTATATGTTACATGGTTTGTTCTGAAATTACTACAGATGTGAGAAGAAAAAAAATAACATTGTAATTAACTGTTTAATAAAATGTCATAAAGTATATTTTCACCAAAACTACACCATTAATGTTAGAATAGTTTTGTAAAAAGGTAAATGTTACAAATTCATAATACAGTAGTCTTTATTTTATGAGCCATCAAATAGTTTGTTGAATGAAATAAGACAAACCTGAGTCTTTATGTTTCAGTCTACTATACTGTTTACTGTTATTTTCATCAACAATAGCAAACCATGATAAAGCAGTGAACATATATAAACTTAAATGACCAAACTAAGACATTTGGTCATTTAATTTATCCACAGATCTTGGGCAAGTTATAATTGTAATTATTGATCTCACATTGATTTTTCTATTCATCTTTTAGCAGATTGGATTTGCCATCTCCTTCACTTTCAGCTCTCTTAGACAGAATTTTCCTTTCCTCTTATCCTGTCATTTTCTATCTACAGCCAGTCATAAAACAATCTATGTGTTTTAGAACCTCAGGCATTCAAATTAGCCAGCTTACAGGTGACATCATTTCAACAGCTGGTCATAATAAACCAAGCACAAACTGGAACCACCTGCAGTAAATAGTCACTATGAATATAGAAATTGCGCATTCACTTCTTCTAAACCAGGGCTTCTCAATTCTTTACAGTGCGACCCTTTCTTGGGGTTAAAAATATTTTGTGACACCTTCCTTCACAACCAAACCATGGATCTTTGGGATAGTGTGGAAAAATGCTTCAAGTTCAGCAGCCAATAGAAACATTCCCTCAGTAATGAGCTCACCCAACAGAAATTCCTAATCGAAATTAACCTGTCTTCCATGGCCTGTGGGTGGAGCCATTCAGGAGAGCTTGTGTTAGATAAGGTATGTCTTGTAGCACCATTCTTGTGACCCCCTGGCACCATACTACTGCTCTAGTCCCACACATTTGACACCCCAAATGCACAGCAACACCGGTGGAATTGAAGCATATACAGCTCAGTTTGAAAAAAACATATATCAGGGAAGCACTGCAAATCAAGCACTGCTCAAAATGCTAATATGCAAACTCTTCTGTCTGAAACACATACAAAACAAAGACACAAAGTATTGTCCACAAAAACATAAATGTATAGAGGGTAAATACACTGACTTAAGAAGGAACCGTCTTCCAGACACACATTAAAATTATTCATTGGCTTCTAATATTAGAGCAAATGAATCTCCTACTAGAGACAAAGTTCACACTGACCTGAGAGAAGGAAGAAGACTGAAATCCATTTCTGATCCATTTCTGAGAGACAAGTGTATTTCATCACTCAGATGTTTAGATCAAACTTGAGATATTAATCTAATTTCACAACTATAACACTATAACAACTACATCATGTAAGAATTATCATGGAAAACAGAACCACTTAGAATAGCTCTACTTACACTATAAATGTGAATGATAATGAATCCTGGTGGAAGGTGTTCTTCTTTCTCCGGCGTCGTGATGTGTTTCTGCTCCTCTTCAACTCACGTTATGCTCATATACAGTATCTCATTTCTTTACATCTCCAGGCTCATTCATTATTGTATTGTTCCCGTCAGCAGCGACAGTGACAGTTCCAGTAAATGTTTTGTTTTTTGTTTTTTTTCTACACCAGTGAAGAGGATATGTAAAGCTCTTTGCGTGATACAGACATGCAAAGTGGCCCAGGTTGATTTTCAAAACAAATAATCAGCATCATCAGAGATGAATATCATTACTGTTTCCTTTATAGGCCTCTGGGGTCAACAAACTTGCCTGTGCATCTAATTTGATGTTCCTGTATATGTTTCTCTATCTTCTCTAGAAGAAATACGGTTCAAACATTTCCTGATTCTGTAGAGTCTGTCTTTTAAACTCCATCTTATCAGAAGATCATATGCAGCTCACATCCGGTGTTATGAGGCTATGAAGAGGGGCTGAGATACACATCATCTGCCTTTCACCATGTGGTATACCAGATATCACCAGATACTATGTGGTGAGCGCCGGATACTATCAGGTGAGCAATCACTACTATCAAGTGAGCAACAGATGCTATGCGGTGAGCACCTGATACTATGTGGTGAGCACTAGATACTATGTGGTGAGCACCTGATACTATGTGGTGAGCACCCAATTCTATGTGGTGAGCACCAGATACTCTGTGGTGAACACCCGATACTATTAGGTGAGTACCTGATACTATGAGGTAAGCACCCAATACTATTTTAGTGTGTATGAGGAAAAAAATGCAGTTTAATGCAATTAAAAGCAAATAAAGACAGACAGTGCTGATGCCTTCACCAACTTTATTGCTTAACCAACAATTAAAAAAGTAAACAGAGGTGATACAATGAATGTAAACACAGCAGTAATTAGTATGAAGTTAGCTTGAATAAAACCTTTAGTAAGAGTATTTTATATGTGTGTATGTGTACTTTTTCAGCAACTTCAGCAGTTTGTGTCATAACAAGGGTACAAACATCAGAAATAATATAGGATTTCATGAGTAAACATTTACAAGATATTACACAGAACATTGGATAAATGGGATACACTCTAGAAGATAAACAAAACAAATGCCTAGTGGAGTCTATTAAAGTCACCATATTAATCATAACATATGTTAAACAAGATCCTAGTGGTTCTAGGACCGTGAAAAAAAAACTTTCACTTTTGTTAAAACAAAAACATTTTAAGCTTGTAAGAGATTTAATTAACATGTTGTTGGCTTTATATGTTACAGTTTACAGTTTTGTAAAAAGGTAAATGGGCCATAACACTCCAGGGTTTGTTAGTGTCATAAAGCAGATGTTACAATTGGAAATAACTGAAAAAAAGAATAAATGAATCCACCACCAATATTGCTACTACTAACACCTCTACTACAACTTCTAATAATTACTAATTACTAATTATCATAATAATCATATTACCAAAAATAATGCTCAGAAACAAGAAACAAAAAAGAATCAAAATATAATGATTTAAATGAATTAAAACTTATTTGATGTCTGCTTATCGCCTTCAATCTCTGTAGCAATTCTAAATAGGTTTAGTTGCAAATTGTGAGACACAAAAAAAAAAAAGTGTTATGCATCTTATTAGTTTCCTTAATCTGTACAGACATGCAAACATAGACATGACAGTAACGTGGATCCACTGATGTTGGGGACAGACGATGGAACACAGCTTGTTTCCATTCTTCATCACTGTTTTCATTCAATCTACAAAAATACAACAGAATGGCACATTTTTAAATGTAGTCTATAAAAAAGCATGTAAAGCCACAGACACTCAGATACACACTCGCACACTGAGTAACTAACCTTCATAGGTGGTGCAGATGAAGTTGAGTTTCTGGTCCTCAGGCAGGCTGACCCACTGCTGACCTCCTCTAGACTGCACCGCTCCGGTTCTCTCTACAGAGCTGCAGTCTTCTCCTCCTGTCCCGTTACCTGGAGCCCAGTTCTGGTAGCAGATAGACTCTCCATCCACCCAGTACCAGAAGCTGAGGGTGCAGGTGTGACGCAGACCCAGCCACACATGTTCAGTGGAGGCTTTCTGTGCCACCTCCTTCACCCAGAGCTGGATCTCCTCAGAGTGAACAGAGACCAGATCCACATGATTCACTCTGCAGTATCTCAGAGCTTCTCTCCAGGTCAGATTCTGCTTGATCAAGATCAGCTTATCTGGAAGAAAAAGGAAAAGAGAAAATGATCAGTGCATAATTTAGACCAGAGTCCAGTTTACATAATCAGGTAAAGTGTGTTGAAGTCATGATCAGTGACACATTGTAATTATAGAAAATGCAACTCACTCTGATGGCAGATGAATGGAAGCTGGCTGTTGCCATTTACATCATGCCATCGGCCCTGCTCAGTCATAAACACTGCAGTGTAGTTCTGATTTCCACCATAATTATCTGGCTGTGTTGATGCCCAGTATCGGAATGAAGAGCTACTCTGATCTGCCCACTTCCAGGAATCATTAAACAGGCCAATCCACACACTGTCACTGACTGACTGTTTTGCTGAATCAAATATCTGCTGGTTCTCAATCTGGTTCCTCACACTGACCAGGTCTGTGTAATGTTCTCTGCAGTAGCTCTGAGCTTCACGCCAGGTCTTTGCCTCCTTAACCAACATGTATGTAGAGTTTTTCTCTGGAAATTATTAACAATATATGATGAGCTACATCTTTGCATATTTTGAATATTTTTGAACATGTACATTTAATGTACTGCATATGTGTCTACCTAAATTTCTTATGTTAAAATATTTCTATCCAGTTCAACTTTAGGTTCCACAAGTAAACATGAATTTGCCTCATGGCATGACTAGCAATGTGTAAATTAAGTAATTAACTAACCTTAAACCTAAATAATTGCACACATTTTAAAATTCAACTCACTCTCAGAGCAGATGAATGGAAACTTTGTTTCACAATTTGCATTATTCCAGTAGCCCCCGTCAGTCATTACTATATGAGCACAGTTCTCTTTTCCACTAGAAATATCTGGCTGGTTTTGCTTCCAGTATCGGAATGAGGAGTAACTCTCATCTGACCACTTCCAGGAGTCTCTGAACAGGCCGATCCAAACCGTTGCTCCATTGGCTACCTTCTTTATCTCGTCATTCTCAGCCTGGTTCCTCACGCTGGCCAGATCTGTGTAGTTCTTTCTGCAGTAGCTCTGAGCATCACGCCAGCTCTTTGTGTAATTAATAAATATGTAACTGTTTTTTCTTTCTGAAAAGTGTTAACAGCAAATTTGTTAATACATTTCAAATAAATTTTTCATTATTTTGCACATACAAAAAATGGACAGTACAATAAAACACATCTGCCTAATTATTAGATACAAATGAAACCATGGAAAAAAAGTAAAATAAATTCAGTTGCACGTGTGCAGCAGGTTAAACTAATACAGAAAAGCTGTCGGCTTAGTTAGGAAGAAGGACAAATTAGCTTGCTAACCTTTGACCAGGACAAAATCAGTTTATTGCAATCTGGAAGAAAGTAACCATCAAATTTACTCTGAGCTGAGCTGAGTAAAAATATGCTTGGTCCCCAGCAACAATTACTATTGAATTATAGCTTAGTGTTTACATGATTGAATAGTGTAGGCTTTCCTACAGTATTTATTTGTATATACTATCCAATTTCTGTAAACATCTTTTTGTCTTTCTGATCACACACAGAAACTAGAAAAACTTTAGGAAAGCTTTTTTTTTTCCCCTCTGTTGCTCCGGCAATCAAACGTTAAATAAAAATGATTAAAAAAACAGGTTTATTATGACATTCTCTGATGTCTCATCTCACAACATGTATTGTTAGACTGTAATGGCTGTAGTTTCAAAATTGTGTTGCATAGTCACATATTTAAAACGTTCACTCACAATTCAGTGACTACCAATCACTTTTATTATGAATTAGTTTTGAGTCAGTTGCTTTTCATTTCTTGTCTGGATACAGAGAAATGTGTCTATATTACTGTCCAACAACAGAGTGAACAGTGGCATTTTACTTTCCAATACAGATGCTGGTGATAAAGACTGAAAAATCTTGCTGCCACTTTCTTCTGAGGGACAAGCTTATTATAAAATAATGCACACTAGTGATCAGCAAATAAATTCATCCATTTATAAAAATGGTTGTCAGTTAAACATAAAAATATTGTGGTAAAAAGTACATAAACTAATGAATACTTCAAATGATTTTTTTTTCAATCAAAGTATGTTGTTAATAAACAAATTCAGTTGTATGTTACCACATAAAGTATTTTTCAATAGGTTGAACTGACAATCATTTTTTACAGTGTACGTCATCGGTCACAGTCAGCCATCATTTCTGAGTTCTTACCTTCAAAACACACGAAAGGTAATAAACGGCTACAGTCGTCATCATCCCAGCTCCAACCTCCATACATCCGAACACAAACCACCTCTCCAGCTTTACTGTTTGGTTTTCCTGTATACCAGTTGCTGTATGACTGTCCTTCTCTGTAGACTGTTCCATCTTGCAGGGACCACTGCCAGGTCACTTTTTCTAGGCCGATCCAAACCTTAGCAGATTTATCTTTCACAGTTTCATTCAGCTTCTTCATCTCGTCCATGTTGTTGATGGTGGCCAGATCAGTGTAGGTCTGTCTGCAGTAGCTCTGAGCTTCAGTCCAGGTTTTATTCTCATTCACAAAGTGATACCGATGAGGAACGTATGCAGACAGACCATAGATAGCTGTGAGTAACATGAGGCGGGATTTTGAGATGGCATTTCAGTGGAGCAAAACAAAAAGATAACACTTTACTGTAGGGCAGTATACACTAATACATTGATATGCAACAGCAGTCTTACTACTGGCAAAGCATTCACTGTTACAGATGGATTATTGTAGTACTGCTCATGTAAACAGACTCACACTTCAACTTCAGTTTTTGCTCATGTATTTACACAAGTGAATATTGACACAACATATTTTCTCTTATGAATTTATGTGTAATAGGGTGAACTACTTTATTTCTGATTGCAACACAGTAGGTGGAATTTTCTACATTATGAGAGTGCTTACACTTCATCGGCACAGGGAATGACAATATTACTAACATAATGTGTTTAACTGTAAGGAACAGCAATAATGTTTCCCAGTCAAAAGGAAGAACTCCCAAAAAACATTACATTTAGCTCATTTAATATCATAATAATCAAATAATTTACAAACCTTTTTCCGTATATTGGCAAAAACTTGACATCAGCATTTCTTCTTGTTTAGACTATTTCAACATGTTTGACATTTTCTGTCATGGGGCGTGGTGAATAATACAAACAAGACCACTGGTGGTCAGTAACGAAGTAAATGTAATTCACAACCAGTGTCTATTCAACATAAATGATGGAACTAACCTAACTTTGTGTAAATAGACCACAATATAGAAATATGCACACATGTGCAGTTGTGACTGACGTGTCTTTTTTCTGAATTTATACAAACACTATTTCATTTTATAGTAAATTCATTCTGACTAGTTTATGTTTATGAACAGAAACCTACAGATGCAATATAGTAAAGCAAAACTCATTTGCGAAGCTGTGTTTAAAGCAAGTTTGTATTAAATTTACAGTTCTTTAAATTTAGACAATTTTTTTATTTAAACTAAGTTCCAAATAAATCTTAACGGAAACATTGCTTGTTCGCAAAAGGTTATTTCAGAGCCACTTGGTTCTACCTAATGGAAATCGTTTGCTTTCAGTGTTTTGTGCTCATGATAATTTAATAGACATAAGTGTCAGAATAATTAATGACATTCTATTAAAATACTGATGTTAAAAGAGTGACACTAGAGTATTTTCACCTACCCTGAGTTGATAAAGCAAGAGTTTGGTTACAAAAATTATAGTAGGACATTAGAGCCATAAATAATCTTTTAGTAGTTTTACTTTTGATACTTAAGTACATTTGAAGGCAAAACTTTTTTTCACTCAAGTACATGGTTTCCACCACTGAACAAAATATCTGTCCCATGTCAAACTGAAACTTGCAGTTCAAATCATACTAACTTATAATTTTAAAACTACATTTTATTAATTGTATCTGTGTGTAAGTGGTTGGGAGGGATTATGCTCTCACATTGTGTCTCAAATTTGAAAAGAAAACATCAGTTTCAGTCTAAATTTGATATTTTCACATTTTTGTAGTCTCCATTCTCACTGCTAATGTGTGTGTGGGGGGTGCAAACACATTAATTTCAATTAGTTATTTTCATATTAACCCTACAGAACAGGTTTCATTATCCAAATTTTATTAAAACTATTTTTCCAGTATTATTAAACTTTAAAATGACCGAAAGGGTTAAGTAAGCTGAGGGAGTATTACTTTGTGTTTTAAACCCAGAACTTAGGTCACCGAATCTAAAGAGAACCATACTGCTGCAGCTAGATAAATGTTGGGAAATTTGACATTTCCTATGCAGATCCAGTGTAAGTACCCTTATATAGTAGGCTATATTTGTTATAATCTGAAAAATCTGAAAATCTTGTTGGTAAAGCAGCAGTTAATCATATTACACATTTAAGTACATTATGCTGTTGCATTAAGACTGTAGTCCATCTGTTTCTCTGCATACTTTCTATGAGTAACACCAGGGACAGGGATGAAAGGGGGAGATTCAAGACCACCAACAGTTTCAACCTGATCACTAGCCCCACCAGATAAAATGTCAGAAAATGAATGCTGAATTGTGGCCATCTTATCCAAATCAGTGAAAGCACCAATAATAAACTACAATGTCCCCTAATGGCCAGCATCTGTAACAGCTTAAGCTAATGTCGAGTCACTACCAGTTCAGACACTGCAAGTTAATGCAATTAAATTGATCAGTAATCCAAAATTTATTTTAACATATGGCTGCTGTCAAAACAAAACCTGTAATCTCACAAATTATAACTTAACAGGAGAAGGAAGAACCTACTTTATTTTTAATGTAAGTCAAGCGAACCAGGTTTTTTTTTTACAAGTAATTTTAGGCCAGTTCGTTTGGTCCATTCATCAAGAAATTTACAAACAATGTAAAGGCCAACAGGCTTTTTTCAAATTATGTCAAAAACTTAAAAAATGACAAAAATGGAGATATAAGGTTTTCTTTCAACAGCAGCGATATGTTACTTTTTGTTTGTTTTTCATCTGGTGTTAAGCTTTTGAAGAAGACACTATATAAGGAACATTTGTGATTGTTAATATAAAGTGGGATCATTGCTTATGTGGGTGTAGTAGGTATAAGCTTCAAAGCTTCGAAAGCTTCAAAACTTCAATGCCAAGTTTTCAGGTGGTTTGTGACACTTACTGGGGTGGAATCACACAGGCCTGAACATTTTCTGTGGCACTTTAAGTTGGTTTAGACCAACAGAAATACGGTGTGTGCAATGCAAGAAATGATCATAACATCGTAATTGTACGAATAAGTTGAGTCACAGAATACAAAATAAAAATGAAAGATTATAAGCAAGAAAATTTAAAAAAAAATTGAAGGAAAGAAAAACATAAGCGAAATAAAGAAAGAAAGAAAGAAAGAAGACAAAGAAATGTAGAATAAAGGAAAAGCGTATGGGAAAAGAAGGTGGAAAACTAATCAGCCTCTAACATGAGGTTTTGATGAGTTCAAGTTTAATAAATAATGAAAAAAAAAAACAGCTGTTTAATGCATAGATGGATGGGTGAAAAAATTAAGGAATTAAAAGATAAGTGAGACGGTTATGAAGCTATAGCAGAAAGGAAAAGCAGAATTCAGTGGAAACATTTCAAATAAGCACAGCCAATCAGCTTCAGTGCCATTATGACATCATCAATGAAAGTTGGAATTCAAATCAAGATTCCACCACACGTCTATTGAAAATATACAAATTTTAAGTAATTTTTTTAAAACGTGAAATTTATGAAAATCTAACACATCTTACTGAAATTATCTTAGAAATGATATCAGAACTGAGTTTATATGTTACATGGTTTGTTCTGAAATTACTACAGATGTGAGAAGAAAAAAAATAACATTGTAATTAATTGTTTAATAAAATGTCATAAAGTATATTTTCACCAAAACTACACCATTAATGTTAGAATAGTTTTGTAAAAAGGTAAATGTTACAAATTCATAATACAGTAGTCTTTATTTTATGAGCCATCAAATAGTTTGTTGAATGAAATAAGACAAACCTCTTTATGTTTCAGTCTACTATACTGTTTACTGTTATTTTCATCAACAATAGCAAACCATGATAAAGCAGTGAACATATATAAACTTAAATGACCAAACTTAGACATTTGGTCATTTAATTTATCCACAGATCTTGGGCAAGTTATAATTGTAATTATTGATCTCACTTTGATTTTTCTATTCATCTTTTAGCAGATTGGATTTGCCATCTCCTTCACTTTCAGCTCTCTTAGACAGAATTTTCCTTTCCTCTTATCCTGTCATTTTCTATCTACAGCCAGTCATAAAACAATCTATGTGTTTTAGAACCTCAGGCATTCAAATAAGCCAGCTTACAGGTGACATCATTTCAACAGCTGGTCATAATAAACCAAGCACAAACTGGAACCACCTGCAGTAAATAGTCACCATGAATATAGAAATTGCGCATTCACTTCTTCTAAACCAGGGCTTCTCAATTCTTTACAGTGCGACCCTTTCTTGGGGTTAAAAATATTTTGTGACACCTTCCTTCACAACCAAACCATGGATCTTTGGGATAGTGTGGAAAAATGCTTCAAGTTCAGCAGCCAATAGAAACGTTTCCTCAGTAATGAGCTCACCCAACAGAAATTCCTAATCGAAATTAACCTGTCTTCCATGGCCTGTGGGTGGAGCCATTCAGGAGAGCTTGTGTTAGATAAGGTATGTCTTGTAGCACCATTCTTGTGACCCCCTGGCACCATACTACTGCTCTAGTCCCACACATTTGACACCCCAAATGCACAGCAACACCGGTGGAATTGAAGCATATACAGCTCAGTTTGATAAAAAAATAAAAAAAAACATATATCAGGGAAGCACTGCAAATTAAGCACTGCTCAAAATGCTAATATGCAAACTCTTCTGTCTGAAACACATACAAAACAAAGACACAAAGTATTGTCCACAAAAACATAAATGTATAGAGGGTAAATACACTGACTTAAGAAGGAACCGTCTTCCAGACACACATTAAAATTATTCATTGGCTTCTAATATTAGAGTAAATGAATCTCCTACTAGAGACAAAGTTCACACTGACCTGAGAGAAGGAAGAAGACTGAAATCCATTTCTGATCCATTTCTGAGAGACAAGTGTATTTCATCACTCAGATGTTTAGATCAAACTTGAGATATTAGTCTAATTTCACAACTATAACACTATAACAACTACATCATGTAAGAATTATCATGGAAAACAGAAGCACTTAGAATAGCTCTACTTACACTATAAATGTGAATGATAATGAATCCTGGTGGAAGGTGTTCTTCTTTCTCCGGCGTCGTGATGTGTTTCTGCTCCTCTTCAACTCACGTTATGCTCATATACAGTATCTCATTTCTTTACATCTCCAGGCTCATTCATTATTGTATTGTTCCCGTCAGCAGCGACAGTGACAGTTCCAGTAAATGTTTTGTTTTTTGTTTTTTTTCTACACCAGTGAAGAGGATATGTAAAGCTCTTTGCGTGATACAGACATGCAAAGTGGCCCAGGTTGATTTTCAAAACAAATAATCAGCATCATCAGAGATGAATCTCATTACTGTTTCCTTTATAGGCCTCTGGGGTCAACAAACTTGCCTGTGCATCTAATTTGATGTTCCTGTATATGTTTCTCTATCTTCTCTAGAAGAAATACGGTTCAAACATTTCGTGATTCTGTAGAGTCTGTCTTTTAAACTCCATCTTATCAGAAGATCATATGCAGCTCACATCCGGTGTTATGAGGCTATGAAGAGGGGCTGAGATACACATCATCTGCCTTTCACCATGTGATATACAAGATATCACCAGATACTATGTGGTGAGCGCCGGATACTATAAGGTGAGCAATCACTACTATTAGGTGAGCAACAGATACTATGTGGTGAACACTAGATACTATGTGGTGAGCACCTGATACTATGTGGTGAGTACCTGATACTATGAGGTAAGCACCCAATACTATGTGGTGAGCACCCAATTCTATGTGGTGAGCACCAGATACTCTGTGGTGAACACCCGATACTATTAGGTGAGTACCTGATACTATGAGGTAAGCACCCAATACTATTTTAGTGTGTATGAGGAAAAAAATGCAGTTTAATGCAGTTAAAAGCAAATAAAGACACACAGTGCTGATGCCTTCACCAACTTTATTGCTTAACCAACAATTAAAAAAGTAAACAGAGGTGATACAATGAATGTAAACACAGCAGTAATTAGTATGAAGTTAGCTTGAATAAAACCTTTAGTAAGAGTATTTTATATGTGTGTATGTGTACTTTTTCAGCAACTTCAGCAGTTTGTGTCATAACAAGGGTACAAACATCAGGAATAATACAGGATTTCATGAGTAAACAATTACAAGATATTACACAGAGCATTGGATAAATGGGATACACTCTAGAAGATAAACAAAACAAATGCCTAGTGGAGTCTATTAAAGTCACCATATTAATCATATGTTAAACAAGATCCTAGTGGTTCTAGGACCATGAAAAAAAAAAAACTTTCACTTTTGTTAAAACAAAAACATTTTAAGCTTGTAAGAGATTTTATTAACATGTTGTTGGCTTTATATGTTACAGTTTACAGTTTTGTAAAAAGGTAAATGGGCCATAACACTCCAGGGTTTGTTAGTGTCATAAAGCAGATGTTACAATTGGAAATAACTGAAAAAAAGAATAAATGAATCCACCACCAATATTGGTACTACTAACACCTCTACTACAACTTCTAATAATTACTAATTACTAATTATTATAATAATCATATTACCAAAAATAATGCTCAGAAACAAGAAACAAAAAAGAATCAAAATATAATGATTTAAATGAATTAAAACTTATTTGATGTCTGCTTATCGCCTTCAATCTCTGTAGCAATTCTAAATAGGTTTAGTTGCAAATTTTGAGACACAAAAAAAAGTGTTAAGCATCTTATTAGTTCCCTTAATCTGTACAGACATGCAAACATAGACATGACAGTAATGTGGATCCACTGATGTTGGGGACAGACGATGGAACACAGCCTGTTTTCATTCTTCATCACTGTTTTCATTCAATCTACAAAAATACAACAGAACAGCACATTTTTAAATGTAGTCTATAAAAAAGCATGTAAAGCCACAGACACTCAGATACACACTCACACACTGAGTAACTAACCTTCATAGGTGGTGCAGATGAAGTTGAGTTTCTGGTCCTCAGGCAGGCTGACCCACTGCTGACCTCCTCTAGACTGCACCGCTCCAGTTCTCTCTACAGGGCTGCAGTCTTCTCCTCCTGTCCCGTTACCTGGAGCCCAGTTCTGGTAGCAGATGGAAAAGCCACTCACCCAGTACCAGAAACCCTGAGTGCAGGTATGACGCAGACCCAGCCACACATGTTCAGTGGAGGCTTTCTGTGCCACCTCCTTCACCCAGAGCTGGATCTCCTCAGAGTGAACTGAGACCAGATCCACATGATGATCTCTGCAGTATCTCAGAGCTTCTCTCCAGGTCAGATTCTGCTTGATCAAGATCAGCTTATCTGGAAGAAAAAGGAAAAGAGAAAATGATCAGTGCATAATTTAGACCAGAGTCCAGTTTACATAATCAGGTAAAGTGTGTTGAAGTCATGATCAGTGACACATTGTTTTACTAATAACGTGTAAATTGAAAAAAGATAACTGCACTTGAAATTAGAAAATAAAATGCATAAATTATAGAAAATGCAACTCACTCTGATGGCAGATGAATGGAAGCTGGCTGTTGCCATTTACATCATGCCATTGGCCCTGCTCAGCCATAAACACTGCAGTGCAGTTCTGATTTCCACCATTATTATCTGGCTGTTCCGATGCCCAGTATTGGAATGAAGAGCTACTCTGGTCTGCCCACTTCCAGGAATCATTAAACAGGCCAATCCACACACTGTCACTGACTGACTGTTTTGCTGAATCAAATATCTGCTGGTTCTCAGTCTGGTTCCTCACACTGACCAGGTCTGTGTAATGTTCTCTGCAGTAGCTCTGAGCATCACGCCAGGTCTTTGCCTCCTTAACCAACATGTATGTAGAGTTTTTCTCTGGAAATTATTAACAATATATGATGAGCTACATCTTTGCATATTTTGAATATTTTTGAACATGTACATTTAATGTACTGCATATGTGTCTACCTAAATTTCTTATGTTAAAATATTTCTATCCAGTTCAACTTTAGGTTCCACAAGTAAACATGAATTTGCCTCATGGCATGACTAGCAATGTGTAAAATTAAGTAAGTAACTGAACTTGAACCTAAATAATTGCACACATTTTAAAATTCAACTCACTCTCAGAGCAGATGAATGGAAACTTTGTTTCACAATTTGCGTTATTCCAGTAGCCCCCATCAGTCATTACTATATGAGCACAGTTCTCTTTTCCACTATAAATATCTGGCTGGTTTTGCTTCCAGTATCGGAATGAGGAGTAACTTTCATCTGACCACTTCCAGGAGTCTCTGAACAGGCCGATCCAAACCGTTGCTCCATTGGCTACCTTCTTTATCTCGTTATTCTCAGCCTGGTTCCTCACGCTGGCCAGATCTGTGTAGTTCTTTCTGCAGTAGCTCTGAGCATCACGCCAGCTCTTTGTGTAATTAATAAATACGTAACTATTTTTTCTTTCTGAAAAGTGTTAACAGCAAATTTGTTAATACATTTCAAATAAATTTTTCATTATTTTGCACATACAAAAAATGGACAGTACAATAAAACACATCTGCCTAATTATTAGATACAAATGAAACCATGGAAAAAAAGTAAAACAAATTCAATTGTATGTTACCACATAAAGTATTTTTCAATAGGTTGAACTGACAATAATTTTTTACAGTGTACGTCATCGGTCACAGTCAGCCATCATTTCTGAGTTCTTACCTTCAAAACACACGAAAGGTAATAAACGGCTACAGTCGTCATCATCCCAGCTCCAACCTCCATACATCCGAACACAAACCACCTCTCCAGCTTTACTGTTTGGTTCTCCTGTATACCAGTTACTGTATGACTGTCCTTCTCTGTAGACTGTTCCATCTTGCAGAGACCACTGCCAGGTCACTTTTTCTAGGCCGATCCAAACCTTAGCAGATTTATCTTTCACAGTGTCATTCAGCTTCTTCATCTCCTCCATGTTGTTGATCGTGGCCAGATCAGTGTAGGTCTGTCTGCAGTAGCTCTGAGCTTCAGTCCAGGTTTTATTCTCATTCACAAAGTGATACAGATGAGGAACGTATGCAGACAGACCATAGATAGCTGTGAGTAACATGAGGCGGGATTTTGAGATGGCATTTCAGTGGAGCAAAACAAAAAGATAACACTTTACTGTAGGGCAGTATACACTAATACATTGATATGCAACAGCAGTCTTACTACTGGCAAAGCATTCACTGTTACAGATGGATTATTGTAGTACTGCTCATGTAAACAGACTCACACTTCAACTTCAGTTTTTGCTCATGTATTTACACAAGTGTATATTGACACAACATATTTTCTCTTATGAATTTATGTGTAATAGGGTGAACTACTTTTTTTCTGATTGCAACACAGTAGGTGGAATTTTCTACATTATGAGAGTGCTTACACTTCATCGGCACAGGGAATGGCAATATTACTAACATAATGTGTTTAACTGTAAGGAACAGCAATAATGTTTCCCAGTCAAAAGGAAGAACTCCCAAAAAACATTACATTTAGCTCAGTTAATATCATAATAATCAAATAATTTACAAACCTTTTTCTGTATATTGGCAAAAACTTGACATCAACATTTCTTCTTGTTTAGACTATTTCAACATGTTTGACATTTTCTGTCATGGGGCGTGGTGATTAATACAAACAAGACCACTGGTGGTCAGTAACGAAGTAAATGTAATTCACAACCAGTGTCTATTCAACATAAATGATGGAACTAACCTAACTTTGTGTAAATAGACCACAATATAGAAATATGCACACATGTGCAGTTGTGACTGACGTGTCTTTTTTCTGAATTTATACAAACACTATTTCATTTTATAGTAAATTCATTCTGACTAGTTTATGTTTATGAACAGAGACCTACAGATGCAATATAGTAAAGCAAAACTCATTTGCGAAGCTGTGTTTAAAGCAAGTGTTTATTAAATTTACAGTTCTTTAAATTTAGACAAATTTTTTATTTAAACTAAGTTCCAAATAAATCTTAACGGAAACATTGCTTGTTCGCAAAAGGTTATTTCAGAGCCACTTGGTTCTACCTAATGGAAATCGTTTGCTTTCAGTGTTTTGTGCTTATGATAATTTAATAGACATAAGTGTCAGAATAATTAATGACATTCTATTAAAATACTGATGTTAAAAGAGTGACACTAGAGTATTTTCACCT